TTGGTGAAGTTGCCCTGAACGCTGTCGTAGAACTCGTTGGGAATGAGGGGAGACCGCGGCTGGGGGAACTCGAAGCCAATGGACTTGACGATCCACTGGGTGTCGATGTTCTTGAAGTCGGACATGCCGATGATGGTCTGCAGAGAGATACCATCGTAGAGTCTCTCGAGACGGGCAGCATCCCACTGATCACCGTCAGGGTGGTTCTTGACGAAGTTCATAGCAGCGACACCGCTGTCGATCTCGAAGCGGTATTTGTGGCTGTTGTAGGGAGTGTTGTCACGCTCTATAAACACAAGTTAGAACTAGAGGTTTCAAGAGCTTGCGTGGTAGCACTTACGGTCCCAACCAAGATCGTGCAGGAGAGAGCCAACAGCGTGGAGCTCAAGATCGACCTGGGACTTGAGGGTGGCGTTGTTGTTCAGGGCAGCAGCGCCGAGGAGCCATGTTCGGACAACGTGGTTGTACAGGTAGGGCTGGAGAGGGATGAACTCCTTGACGAGCTCGTGGGCATCCCGGACGATCTGGGTGTCAACAACCTCGACACCAGCAATGAAGGTGGTGGGAAGGTCAGCAGAGCACTTGGCCTTCTTGGAAGGGGCAGCCATGGCGGCGCCGGCCACGGCCAGAGTAGAAACGACTCCAGTAGCGAACTTCATTTTGAATAATTAGAACTACGAACAACGAATTGTCAAGAACAGAAAATCGAATTTTGATAAAGGAATGAATGTGACGGGAGGGGTGGAGAGCAAAAAGAAGAGTAGCATTCATGAAGCGTCGGATAGCTTTATATATTGCATTCGCCTCGCCGTTCAGCTCGTCTCTCACTCCGAGAGCCTACGGCCTTCGAACGATTGCCCAGCCTTGGGATCCTCCATTACGCCAACGAAAATGGTATTAGTACAGGGTTGTAGCGTACATTCACTCAAAATAGAAGCTTTAGCGTCTTCTGTGGATGAGGCTGACTATCCGCTTCTTGTCTTTACACTCTTCTGCACTGCCCATAGTGTTGTGGAGGTGCCAAACAGGATATTAGCGCATCTTGGCGAATGCAAGCTGACTATGATCGGCTACACTAGCATTGACCAGTTATTCGGAGAGTCCTTTGCAGCAATTAGCTAATCCTTGACCCCCCAGTACTGGTTTGGAGGTGAGACAACAGTAGGTATGGAGTATCTAGAGACGAGACTAAACAAGTCACTCACAGTTTGTTCGGCAGTTTGCTACGAAATTCCAGCCATTGGCGCGATCAGATAACGTCGCCCTTTGGAACCTTAGTTCTGTAGTCTACTATACTATGTTTATTTGTGAGTTGTACGATGTATCTAATACTGCGTATACACTTCACTATTGTTGGTCAATTCGATAGACTAATGTACCTGTCTAGACACAATACATCGCATATTAGTAGTGAGGATTCCTTGCACCCCAGTCATGACCGGGACCCCTGAAGGGATGCTACCGAGAGATGACGAGATGACATAAGACGCCAAGAGTCGGTATAAGATGGGGTTGGTCTAACTTGTAAAAAGACTTCAACATAACGTCTACGTTCCAGTAGACTCCAGGGTTACAAGTAATTACCAAGCGCTTGACTAGTGTAAACTGTACCATTTGTCAACTGCAGCAAAGCACTATGGCGATTAGACCATGGTTGGTGACATTTAGTATATTCTACTAGTTTGAGTGGGATAAGGATAGTGGTAGTTCAACTGGTTTGTTACTTCGGGGTCAGCGCAATGAATGTGTTCCTGTCGAGCCTGTGAACTGCAGCTCTGTACAGACAAAATGGGACTAGGTCACGCAAAGGCAAAGACACCCCTTTTTGCAGCATACAGCAGGACTTCTATGGTAGTTCTATTGTAGTAGCGCATAACCATAATTTTAAATGAGAAGGAAGATCACCTCATCCCAAAGTGCAGGGATATAGTGGAGATTCGAAGATGAAAATGCCGGCCGGGTCTTGGCTACCCAGAAGGGTAAGCATATAGTCTAGAATTTCCTCTAGTGTAGTGTAGAGCAAGGTATAAAGCGTACATATATACAGTCATGCAGAGCACATATCTAGCGTACGCAGTTGTCTGGTCTTGTACGAGCGATACCCGGGTTTCTCATAACTGGTCATTGAGTATATAAAGTATTATGTATATAATCACACCAATAGTTAGTGAACATGTCTTGATTTCAGTATGGCTTGAACATTTTGAAAACCATTGTCGCCAAAGTTTTGCGTTCCACATGGTGTACACTACCTGGTCAGACGTATATATCCTTGAATCCTGTCCATGCCGTGAGTGGCAAACAATCTTCGCTCCAGTGTAAGGGCTGTACGCGTATAAGCGAAGCGATGTGGACAGCCCGGACCTCATGCGTCGTCTTGGCGTTTTTCGCGTCGCTAAAAAGGGAAGATCCGTACTCGAATCTTTAGTCATCCCTCATTCGATCTAACACTGGTGGGCTTCGCCCACACTATTATAAGACCGGTTAGCGTGTATCATGTGCTGTCTACACAATTTGATATCGTCGAGGGGTGCTGGGCTCGCTGAGCAATCCTTTGGCCTCTTGGCAAGAGCCAAGACCATGAGAGCTGACATTGGACAGTCAGCGACGCAGCAATAGGTCGATATCTCGCGCCGGACTCTGGGCTCGTGAGTTCGGATCTGATGTTTTGCATCATACCGAGTAGGTGCTGTTGTATCGCCAGTCCCAACCTTCTCACACTGTTTCTTTCTGTATCTTCTATCCAGCCCTCTCTTGCTATAAACCCGAACGTCGAGTGTATGCTCGCATACTCGGGTGATTATCGTGTCATTATTTATCAGGTTGTTTGCCTCGATGTTTGCCTCCTCGTTTGTCAAGTCATCCGTCAAGTTGTTGCTACTGGTGTTGTTTGCCCCTTGTACTAACCAATAAACTGCCTTGGAGCCAGAGGGTGGCGGCGATATGGAGACTCATCACCGACGTAAATGTTGATTGTGTTATCTCTGTCCTTAGAGTAGCGACCCGGATAGACATGCGCTATGCACTTCGCCGTATTATCGGCTGAATCTCCGCCTTGTTCTGGTTCAGTTGACTCGATGACATTCATCAGGAGGATGATGGCCAGCCATGGCTATCATGTTAGCGAAGCACTCTCAGGTCATCGGCGATGAAGTCATGATCCATGTTCGAATCGGTGTCCGTGTCCTCAGGTTTGCTCTTAGGGTCTGATTTCTGGTCTCGCGTTTGTTACATGCTGGATGGAACTTGTGCGTAAGGACCACAATGAAGTACAACCTATGGAACAAGCATTCCGTCAACAAGTATTCCTCAGTCTTACCTTTTCGAGTAGCACGGATGGCATGAGAGAAGTTGCTGTGATACTAGTTGTTGTATGCCACGCATGCTTAAGCACGTCTGCTATGCCAATAGTACGCCCGTACGTATAGTATTGACTGTATCAACTGCTGGATGGACTCCTTGCCCCAAGCAAAGGGATACAGACGTTAGTTGACCTTGGATAGGCACGACCTTCGGGACTGTAATCGCATTTCCGTGCGTCGCCGAACCTACGGCTCTTAGAGGTAATGGTAGGGCTTCTTTCGTGGAAGGGAAGTGATGGGACGCTATTCGCATCGTGCTCGGTGCGATAGTGGTCCATGTGCTTCTTGGTATTTGCCATGATGGTAGTGTAGTGTAAGGTAGTTGAATTGGTTGGGAGATGGCTCATTTCGATGATCAAGTCCTTCAAATGACTTCTTGTCGACAAGGGCGATCCTTTGGAAGGTCTCCGAACAAGCACACTGCTTTGCCTGATGTTGAATCTCTCTACCGGTCTCCTAGGAGTCTTGTCCATGTAGTCTTGTCCCAGGCCATATCGTCTCATAATCTATCCATATCTGCAAAACATGCTCAACGCATATTTGTTGACGAGACCGCATCATGTAAAACAGGATGATGTTGGAGGACAGCTTGGCTCTGTCTACCTAGGGGCAGTGGCAGTATTATAAAGAAGAGCTTCTTACTGTTTGGGGGACGAGGCGTGATACTAGTAGAGGTCTACACGCTGTTATTTTTAGGACGATTGAGGTGCTTCTGCGGCGCAGACACCAGCAGTACTAGTATATCAAATAATGAGTGTCCATCCGGGTAGCCATCCAGGTGGCAATTCAGGTTCGTATAGGGCTGACCTGGGTACCTATTTGATTTTAAGGCGGCAGCTGGCCAATGCAGTCAGACGAAAATGGCTTCTTGGTCGAAGCGAACCAAACAAAGTTGAATGCCATCCCTGCTGTCAACCTGACCTAAGCAAGCTGTCCAATGATTTGTGTATTACTGCAATGCTCGAACCATGCCAGGAGAGAGAGAGAGCGATTGCGTGATTGCAATTACTGTAATTGAAGGAAGGACTCGCAATTGGAACCACTTGGGTAACATCGAAGGTCGACTTACATTTTATTTTACGTTGCATTTGCGAAAGAACGCAAAGCTATCAAGTAAACACCAAAACTCGAGAGAGTTGTTAAAGGTATAGACCCCAGCCAGCCCTTCTTTTCTAAACTATGAAAGAAAGCTAGCTGGCTAAGTGATGGTAGAGTACATCAAAACAAAATTTGTTAGTGAATAAATAATCAATACGGAGGTTTTGGCCAAAATCAAGTGGCATGCTTGAAGTAGAGCCACAGTGCGACTGACTGACAGTCACTGGCAGAGTAGCCTAATTGGGAAAAACCAAAACACCTGTAACAGCCCGACTCATCGGAGTGCCAATTTATATAAGGCTATATAAGGCCCGCTTACGGCCCGAGAAATTAACTGCCCAGCTGCCAGGCTGCTGTCAGTTACTACTTATTCTGGTTAGACTGATTACTATACTGTATGAGAGGCTATATATTGACACGTTATATCAATGTTAAGCATGCCACTTAATTTTGGCCAGAACCTCCGTATAGGACAGACTCTTTACGAAAAAGATTTTTTATGAAAAGATAAAAGAATCTTTGAAAAAAGAAAAAAGCATCTGGACGAACGGGGAATTGAACCCCGGACCCCTCCCAAGCACGATGATCCCAAATTTAGGGAAGATCATCCCAGATTTAGGATGTATGCGAAGGGAGTATCATACCCCTAGACCATTCGCCCGACTTCACTAAAAACGGCCACGTACGGCGGCGTCATGTGACTTGATGGAGGCTAGATAACCTAGAAAGAATTATATCGATGCGTGCTACTATCAATCAATACAGTATATATTATTTATCCAACACTGTATCGGATTAGATACTGCGCTGCCACTGACCACTGACTGCATGTGGTAAGTACTTACCTCAGTAAGTAGCCAGCGTGACTTCTGCTTTTAAATGATTGGCTTGATATAGCAGCACACTACCTCCCACTCGTGAATCATCTTTCTCCCAGATGATATGAAAACGCCATAAACTATCTTTCTACAACCGATCTGAGCTAAGCTGTCACGGCCAATGCCGCTTCAATGGCTCTCGATGCTGGCACGCGGTTAACAAGCGTTTGGTGAGCCTTACTCTAACCCCTTGACTTCTTTACGTACAGTACAGCAACTGAAAAGGGGGCAGAAAGGGGAAAGACGAACAAAGTAGAAAACAATGCGGCTAACTAGAGAGCAGGTTTCTAGCTTCGTTTGCCTGGCTGTCCTATTCCTCGCAAAGACATGCCTTAATCCGTAATTGCTTGTCTTTCGTCGTCTAGAGTTAATCTGCTGACGCGGTACTCAGATCAGCCGCGTCTTTCATCCTTTCTGCTCCTCCTGATTTCCGGCTTACTCGCTTTCCTTGTGAGTGTCTTTTCAGAATGGCTTCCTGGCGCCCATGGAAGATTTGGTTCGTGCATCCATTCCTGTTCGTGTGAGAGCGATGGCTGTTGACGTTATGGTAGATTCCGACGCCGTCTTGAAGGCAGCATCGTCTTCCTTGCCACCAAGACCACGTCGATTCTATGTACCCTGTATTATTATCCTTGTAATTCTTAGACTTGAGCTTTCTTACAGAAGTATGCATGATTTCCAGTGCTCTACTCCAGGTATCGAGGTCAGACAACTCAGCCCCCCTTTTCACGAAGCTGGCAGTATGTAGCTAACCCAATCTCACAGGCATTCTTGCCGCTGTTGTTAGTAGCACATAGGTTCTGCTCATATCGTGCACCACCGATAGAGTCAGATGAGCCCGAAGATATGTGGGGAAGCCCGTTGGAGGATTTCAAAATATGGCTCACGGGCTCGCCTGTTATGCTGCTTCTCGGTACCATCCTTCTCAGCTACGGTGCGTTTTTAGCTGGCAATCTTACAATGAGATCTACATACTTCTGTTCTCCTTTGGCCGACCAGGGGTCTCTCATCTTTCTCGTTCAATTGGTTGGTCTATTCGTGGATGCAACTATCATCATCCTGTCGTCGAGAGTGCTCTCCTGGTTACGAACTACGAAAAGTCGGCTGCGGACCCTCGGCAGCATTTTGTTGATCGCGTCATTTACAACATGCGTCCCTTTAGTAGCTGCAGGATTCTCAAAGCGTGGCGGAATCATTGGGCACCAATCTCTTAGAGGTGTCAACTCCCTCTATATTTTCGACACTTTGACTACTGGCATAGTTGTGGCTACGCTCGTCATCTCGACATCCCTGCTGATATGCGACACATCACCACATGAGCCCATTACCATTGCTACCTTTGCATGCAGCTTATTTGCTGCTGTTAGCAATGTGTTTCTAGTAGGCACGTACCAACAAACATCTGCAGCACAACCACTACTCATCTTAGGAACAAGCTCACTTGGGTTTACCATTTTCACATACGCGAACAATATGCGTTCCATCGTTTTCGTAAAACGCGCGTTTCTCCTGCTCTTGTTACTGGGTATAATGGTTTCTTCTATCATTTACGTGTTCCTGACACCAAAGGTGTTCACTCGTCATCCGGTCGATGACCTCGTTTACAAGAACCGGATAGAGGCAGATCGGTGGCTACGGCATGCAACAGTCAGCACAACCATGAAACTCGCGGTCAAAGAGTACGAAGAAAGACATCACGGGCGCAGACCTCCACGTAATTTTGACAAGTGGTTTGACTTTGCCCGGCAAAGAAAGTCAGTTGTTATCGATAGGTTCGATCAAATGGAGAGAGATATCTTGCCATTCTGGGGCCTACGGCCGCATGATATTCGAGATCGCCTCACTTTCCTCAAAGACCAGCCCAATATCGGCATAATTAGCATTGCTGATAATAAAGTGTCTCACAACAGTCCGGCCGATCTGTCGCAGCAAGAAACACTCGATGGGATCGTTACTCTGATCTCCAGCTTTGTAGAGCATCTTCCGGCGATGGAAATTGCCATCAACTTGCTAGAACGGCCGAGAGTCCTGGTTCCTTGGAATGAGATACAAAAGTTAAGAACAACAGCAAGCCAGCCAGGCTTCAAGCTTATACCCCGACGCAGACGTGACGATTCGGATATTTCTAAAGTGAAAGAGGCCGGCACCGACATGCGAATGGAAGCAGCACGTTCAGCTCAGACCTATATTGCGGCTCATCATTTTCGACAACTCGAGGCCCTCGCTTGCCCCCCGGGCTCCCCCAGTCGCGCTGGCCGCAGTTGGGACGTAAGAGACTTCTGTGCCACATGTGCAGCACCTCACAGCAAAGAACAGTTCCTCCAAGATTGGCAAATGGCGCTCGACCCATGTCATCAGCCGGATCTCTTCAATCTTCATGACTTTCACACCACTCCTCACCAATTCGAACTCTATCAAGATCTATTACCCCTATTTAGTGCGTCGAAGACGGCTAGTTTCAACGATGTCCTGATTCCCTTTCCAATGTCTGGGCCGAAACAAGAGTATGACGGCAGAACGTTTAATCAAAAGCAAGATGTCGTCGTCTGGCAAGGCGATGTTGACGGTATTCCACCGGCCACCCACGAATTTCTTCATGGTAGCCACAGGCTACGTTTAGTACATCTTGTCGAAAATGCCACGGCGACAGACCACATCCCTATGCTATTAGGGATAGGAGCGGGCCAGAATAGTAGATTTCGATACGAATACGTGCCTACCGCGGAGGCAAACAGCATCTTACCTCTGCAATTCTCGTTAACAGGCCCACCTGAGGGCTGCAAAGACGCGAACTGCGAGCTCATACGGAACGAGTTCGGATTGCAGCAGCCGATCACGGAAGTGGATGGTCGTTACGTGATGTTACTCGATACCAGAGATGGGCCACCGCCGAACTTACTGCAGGTGCTGCGGTCAAACAGCGTACCGGTCCTTTCTTCTATATTCCAACAATGGTTTACAGAACGGCTGATGCCCTGGGTTCATTTCATCCCCATAGATACGAGATACCACGCTCTACATAGCACAATGTCTTATTTCATTGGCTTGGATGGTCGTGGCACGCTCAACGGACGGAAACAGATCACGCCGGGGCGAACAGAAGACGCCAGATGGATCGCCCAGGAAGGTCAAAAATGGGCCGAGAAGGCAATCAGAAAAGAAGACATGGAGGTCTATCTGTTTAGGTTGTTGCTGGAATGGGGACGGGTGATTGATGATCACCGGGACAGTCTGAACTTTGTACTAAAAGAATAAGATGACTCTTCTGTATGCTATCTGCTCCTGTAAGATTAATTATTCATAGGTGCTTTTTCCTTTTTCCTAACAGTTTAGATAAACCTAGAGGTAGGTATGATAGATCTATTGCATGGAAAAATAGAGTGCTTCGATATTTGTTCTTGTCTCGATGCTATCCAGGGCAGTCCAGGAATATATAGACCTAGGTATATGTATGTAAAGAGGCGTGACGTATGCAGCTGTAATTGGTAGGGACGTAACCTACGTGCATGCTTCCCCACCAATCTCAGCCATCTCAGCCCACCTACACCTTCCAGCCGGCGTCCCCGTAGAATCGGCGAACCGAACAACCTAAACAAGCTTCATTACCCAGTCTCACCTATGGAGTAGCCAATCGCCCACGTTGGTCTTTGTGAATTTACGATACGACTTACAGGTATCCTTTTCGCACGAAACACACACACCGATACGGTGTGATGGTTGCGCAGCCGACGAATCAATACCTCGCAATACGTAGGCCACACATAACATAGCATAGCCCCCGGGCAGGCAACGAACATCAACCGCACACAATGGCCGTCATAGACCAGGACAACTTCTCCAACATCTCGTGGCAGATCGAGACCGACAATAGTGCCGACGCCGCCGAGTCGAGCGCGTCGATGCCGAACATCGAAGCTGAGCCGCCGAGCAGCGAGGACCGGCACCGGGGACAAGAGCTGCAGCGCCAGGACCCGGGCCTGTCGGGCGATATCCTCGAGTGCACCGTCTCGGAGCCGCACAAGGAGAGCGACGGGACCAAGGACGCCTTTGTGTCATACCTGATCACTACCACTGTGCGTGTTGTCTTCCCTTCTCGCATGACCGCTGACCACTTGACCGACGACCAACGACTGACTTGCTCCATCGTCATCGTCGACGATATAGTCCACCTTCCCTTCCTTCCAGAAACCCACCTTCACCTCCCGTCGGCGCTTTACCGACTTCGTCTTTCTCTCCAAGACCCTCTCGAAAGACTACCCAACATGCGCCGTCCCTCCGCTGCCCGATAAGCAGCGCATGGAGTACGTCCGTGGGGACCGCTTTGGCCCAGACTTCACTAACCGCCGAGCCTACTCGCTCCAGCGTTTCCTGTCACGTATAACACTCCATCCCGTCCTGCGCCGCGCACCCATTCTGCACACCTTCCTCGAGTCTCCTGACTGGAACGCCACAATGCGGTCTCGCGCCGGTAGGACAAGCGTTGCTTCTGACCAAGGGGCCGGCGGTGTATTCGATAACTTTGCTGACACGTTCATCAATGCTTTCACAAAAGTCCACAAGCACGACAAGCGGTTTATTGAGGTACGCGAGAAGAGTGATAAGTTGGACGAGGACCTCGCCCAGGTCGAAAAGGTTGTGGCCCGCGTAGTGCGCCGTGAAACCGACCTGGAAACCGATCTGCGCGACCTGACGGAGCAGTTCCAGAAGCTAGTTACGCTGGAGCCCGGCGTCGAATCTGCCGTACACGGCTTCGCTGCTAGTATCGAGGATTCTGCGGCAGGGC